AAAATATTTTTGGCATAGTTTTGTAGGAATGTACATATATATAGTGAGTTCATTCAAAAGTTGTGTGGGATGTAAGATAGTTCTTCACTGATGTTGCACAGAATATATTTTAAGAATGCAAATAGATTGTTTGTTTGTTTCCTTTTGTCCTCTATAGGACAAATAGAGGCCTATTTCTATATTCTTGACTCTACCATTTTTCCATGTCAGGTTTTCATCTCATATAATCTTCTAATGACTTTTGTCAGTCTCTGTCAAAACCTTATGTCATTTGGCGAGTAATTTGACATGACTTCATACCTAAATGTGTAAAATTTAGGGGCGATTATATTCTACAGTTGTTTAAAAAAGAAAACTTCAAAGAGAAATTAATTTGTGTTTTAAGTAGGCAAATTATATGACTAGTAATGCTCAGAAAGAGCTTTGAACACTTAAAATATCCTTGTGTGTCATTGTCTTTCATAGTCAGTATTTAGAGTGTTAATAAAGAATTTCACTCAGGTGAAATTATATAATACTGGTTACTTTATTTTCTCACTACCTACTAAAATGTGGTTTGGAAATTGTCTTGTTGTGTATATAGGCTACATTACACCTGGAATAAAATGTAAAATCTGTTCTTTAGCTTCTATATTAAAGACTAATTTATGGACTGTTTTAGGTACCATTTAGCTTTATCAGCATAGGTAAAATCTCTTTTTTAAAAAGTCTTTCTAAAATTATTAAGTAAGTTTGGATTTATCTTTAGGTGTGCAGGAAAATGGCTGTTATTTTAGTGTATGACAGGTCTCAGATTATTTTTAGAAGTCTACAGTGAATGGCTTTGCCTTTTTAAAGGCATTTTAAAATATGGACGCTTTCAAATACTTCCGTTGTCTTTTATTCATTTTAACTTTTTTCCCCAGTCATTTTTCACATAGAAACTTAGTATGTAGCACAATATTAAATGCTTATTAAAGTATTAGATTTACACTGTATATTTTAAAATCTTAGCTGCTGCTTGCATTTGCCAAGTTTCTGTTCTTTAGTAAAATAGATAGTCTTTTTATTGTGGTGCTAATAAACCGTAACTTGTCACTTCCTCTACTTAGTGGCTAAGCGGATATGTGTTTACAAAACAGATTTTCTGATGAAACAGAGATGAATGAAGTAAAATGTTCTGTGATTCAATAACTACTTTGTATAGTATTTTTAAAAATATAGTAATCTAAATATATGTATATATATTTTTAGAAAGAATCTTCAAGAGGGAGACATAGGGAAAAGGAAGACATAAAAATCACTAAGGAGAGAACTCCAGAAAGTGAAGAAGAAAATGTAGAATGGGAAACTAATAGAGATGGTGAGTTGCAAAATCCGTTTATGTAGTCAATTCTTGATTATTCACTTTGTACAGGTTTTTTGTGGGCTTTAAAATACCTTTAAACTGTGCTCTCCCTGTTATTTCAGAATCATCTTATTGACTTGTTTCTATCTTACTGAGTTGTAAGGCAGAAATTGGCATATAGTATAGTAGTGAAAAGGCAGAGAGAGTACAGTGTCGTTTGTACTGTATATTTCAACTTTCCTCCTTTTTCCTTCTAGAACCTTACTGTGTAGCATCACTGTTGTTTTGAATTTTATTACATTTATGAATTTTTTAGTTCTTCAAACTAAGTTTAAAAAAATTAAATCTAAATGTGTTTGTTTTATATAAAGTATTAAAAGTGAGATTTCTTTTTCTTTTTCTTATAAAACACACTCCTCGTTTAGCTACTTTTCAACCAGCCCTCTTGGGGTGCAAATTTTACACCCCCTGGGAGAACTTTGTTATTCATAGACAACAAAACTAAAGAGGTTAAGAATTTAAACCAATTTCTCAATTATAAGCTGAAAACATAGAGCAGAGATTAGAAAACAGTGACTATAGACCAGTCCCTGGTTTTGCATATAGTATTTTATCAGAATGGACTATGAACATTTAGTTACACATCGTCTGTGCCTGCTTTTGAGCTGCAGTGGCCACGTTGAGTCCTTTTGAACAACTAAGAACCTGCAAGCCTAAAATATTTACTGCGCCATTTCACAATGATCTTTGAAGACTTACAGACCGAGATTGAAACATAACCTAAATGTCTCTTCAGTAATTGGAGCATCAGTCCTTATTAAGGAAATTTATTCTGTCTTTGGACTGTGCTCTCTGTTAAAAAGTTGCTTCCAAGAACAAATAGGAAACTTTGTAATGGTTAGTTTATTGGGATGTAATCATCTAATCTAATACTTCTCCAAAGTAGCAATAAAGCAGCAATGATATCCTGTTATAGTAGACTAATTAGCTAATATGTTGAAATAAGATATTATGAACCATAACTATTCAAGTTTGCATAGCTAAGTTTTCCTAAGTAATAAGGGACTAACTCTTAACATTTCTAACATTCATTTCATTTCAGTTACTTTAGATAGAAAACATTTTGAAAAGTATTGGATATTTCTATAAAAATAAAATTTTCTATTCTCATAATAATATTAGCTAATTGTTAAAAATTTAAAAGGTTCAGAAAAGTTTGTCAGTTCTTTCCTGGATTTTATAGGAGCTGTGTAAAACTTTCTCCATAAATCTCCTGCACTCCTCTTTAAGGTCTTGCACAGAACTGAAGGAACTCTGCATTCAAGATCTCCTTCCACTTTCTCCTACCCCCCACATACTAATCTTTTATTCATGCCCAAACTTTTTTCTTTCTCTTTTATTCTGTGTAAGAGCCTCATCCTACTGTATAAGGTTGATAAATTCCCTCATATTTTAGATCTGACTTCTTCCTACCTCAGCAGTGTTGTTCATTTATTATACATTCTTTTCTATATCTTTAAAAATCCATTTTCTCCTATTTGTATATTACTGTTAGCTTGCACTCTGCTTATCCCCACTTAAGTGAATTCTTAAAAGAGTTCTGTGCTTTACCATCACTCTCTACTTTTCTACCTGATACTTATTATTTAGTCTTCTGACCCAACTCTCCATTAAAACTAATCTTCAAGGTCACTAATAACCTCCTCTTTGCTGAATAAATGGAAAATTACTTGTGTCTATCTTATAAAACCTTTCTGCAGCATTTGATGGATCCAAGAGCTCTGTCTTCTTAAAAAACATTCTTTTCCCCGGTTTCCATCTATTACTCTCCAGTTTTCTGTCTTCCTGTTCAAGCCCTTCATTTGAGGTTCCTTGTAATCTGTCTGTCTGTCTCTTAAATACTGATTTTCAAGGATTTGCACTTAACTATCTTCTTTGAAAAAAAAAATCTAAGGTAATTTTACTACATGAGCCTTTCATATAGGAAATTCTTGTAAAAGGTGAGTATAAATGTCTTTAATAGTGTTTTATATATGAAACAGTCACGTGGCAATTTCTTATGTATTCCATTGATCAAAACTCACAAGTTTTAATCATTGTATATCTTTATGATGTTAAAGTATCTGTTGAGGGAATATGAACATATAGATGCTTGCCTCAATCCCTGGATAATGAGACTAAATTGGTTTAACAGACTTACTTTGCATCTGAAGTACATAGCAATTTTAGCTTGACTCAGAAGACATTATATAGTATATAATATTGCTTCTGAAACCTTTTCAGGATAATTTTGCAATTTTTTTAAAGACCCCCCCCCCAAAAGAACTTTTGTCTTTGTGAATTTTATGTTTCAATGCACATGTGAAAATCACACTCATCAAATTCCAATAGGTGGGAGCAGGGAGGAGGAGATGGGTAAATTCTCACCTGATGTGTAGGTACAGTCCATATATTGTCTGGGTGGTGGGCACATTTATAACTTTGATTCAAACAATACAAAAGCAATTTATGTATCCAGAACCCCTGTAATATTCTAAAATTTAAAAAAAATCATCATAAAAATAACAATAATTGCCACATTAGAAATTGAACTTAGGAAAGTTTTTAAATGTTTATTAATTTATTTAACAATGACAATAAACCCAATATACGCTTTGATGAAAAATAACTATACTCAGCAAAGCAAAAAATTATGAAGAGGCAGTGTTTTACTTGTTTTTACAAATCTTTTTAATGTCTGGCTTAATAGAATACAGCTATGTTTTCATATCTGTGTCTACATTCAATTTGTTAACGATATTACATCTTCTGGAAAATTCTATCTACTCATGAGAGAATTTACCAGGCAAATAATGTCCATTATAGGAATAGCTTGATCTTGTGGAACTCCTGAAAGTGTTTCAGGGAATCCCCCCCACCCACCCCCGCGCCCCAAATCCTCAAACTACTCCTTGAGAACCATTTGTCTACAGGTACACTTTCTAAAACTCTTTTGTTTGCAATCTTTTACCTAGTCACCTTCTTTTTTCCCCTTTAGTTTGTCCTTCTAGATGAAATCATGCTTCATTAAGATCAATGTGTTAACCACCTAAATCAATTGATAGTAATTTTCATAACACACTACCCAATGGTTGCTTTTAGTCACTGCCTTCCTACTTCCACTTCCCAAGGATAACCACTATCGTTATTTTTGGCACTATTGATTAGTTTTTTTTATTTTTTTATTTCTTATAGCATAACTATGTACATTAATGCAATCATGGGGTGCGGTGTGCTGTTTTCATATACATTTTGAAATACTCTTATCACTATTGATTAGTTTTATCTGTTTTTAAGTTCTATATAAATGGAATCAACAAGATATACTCCTTTTATGCCTAGATTCTTTTGCTAGCAATGTTATCTATGAGATTCAACCATATGCTTTATTTCAAATAGTTACAGTTTATTAGTTTTCATTGCTTTATATTTTATTGTATTAGTATATCATAATTTATTCTACTGTTGATGAATAGTTGAATAATTTTTAGTTTGGGGCTATTATGAACAAGGTGATGGTACTGTTCTTAAACATACAGTTTGGTAAACATGCGGTCTGTCTGAAAGGTATCCAAATGTCTTTTTTTCATGTTACATGGCTGAATACTTTCCAAGCAGCCCTCACATACCTATTTCTCTTGAGTTTATGCTTCAAAGTGGAATTGTTGGGCCATGGAATATGTATTTGTTCTTCTTTAGTAGGTAATGCCAAATAAAAAATGGTTGTACCAAGTACTTATATGGTATTTTTTGCCTTTTTCATCTTAGCCATTCTATAAATGTACTATATAATGATATCTCTCAGTGTGGTCTTAGTTTGCATTATTCTAATGAAGTTGAAAACTTTTTCATATAGTTATTGACCCTGGTACAACCTATTTTGTAAACTATTTCAGATATTTGCTTGTTCTTGTATTATCTGTTCTTCTTTTTTTCTCCATATATTTGTTTTTTTCCTTGTTGCTTATAGGCATTCTTCATGTACTCTAGATATGGATCTCTATCAGATACACATATTGCTAGTATTTTCTCCCACTGTTAGTTGTAGAGTAAACTTTTAAAAGAATAAATTCATTCATTTCATTGCCCTGTTTAAAATTGTCTGATTTCCCACTGCATCCAGGAGTGCAAATTCTGTTTGTGCTTATAAAACTTCTCATTACAAGTTGCTTCCTAAATTTCTGGTTCCGACCCCAAGTCTGTGTTTTTTATTTGGTTCCTTAAACAGCTTGTACTTATTATATGTAGTTAAAGACCAGTGCAATTTCATAAAAAACAAAAGTATCACTGCAAGCAAAGAAAATGTATGAGAATATTTTGGTGATTATGGATGTGCGTGTATCCTCCTAAAATAAGGCATAAATAACAGCGAGTCCTGAAGATTTGGCTACATAAAAGTTAGAATTTTCTGTATAACTAAATGTAGAAACTAAAGGCAAGTAATAAACTAGAAGAAAACATTTGACATGTAACATGTATAAATATTAACAAAAACACTATGTTAAACATATAATAAACTTCCATAAATCTGTAAAACAGTCTAGTTAAAAAATGAACAAAGTAAAAATATCGGTAGGTGACACCAGAAACAGATATGGCCATTAAATGCTCAGTCTTACTGCAGGGAAATACTGGTGGAGATAAAGAGATAGCACTTTTCATCTATCAGTTTGGTGAAAATGAAGAAATGTTATTGAGTGGGGATTTGCATTGGTAGAGCTTTTCTGGGGTGCAGTTTAGAGATATTAAAAATAGAAATTATACTTTTCTTTGATCCAGCAAATGTAGTTTGAGAAATGTTATAAAGAAATACTTATTTATAATTGTGAACCTAATACCTAAATAGGTATCAAAATGTTCATTGAAGTCTTGCTTGTAACAGCAATTTTTGGAAACTATCTCAGTGTCTCTCAGAAGGAAACTGGATAAGAAAGTTATGGTAGGATGGTACCATGAAATGCTTTGCAGATGTTAAGTATAAGTGGTTGAGCTATATGTATAATATGGAAAGGTATTGTTTATAAAGCAGTGTTTATTGTTTGGGTCCTATTATTTTAAAGATAAAAATGTAAAACCTTATTTTTTATAACACAAAAGTATTAGCAGTATTACTGGAGTGAAGATGGCTGTGGGAGGAATAGAAAGGGAAATTTCATATTTTACTCTGTGTGCTCAGAATTGTTTAAGACTCTAGCAGTGAGCATACTTTGTCATAAAGTCAAGACTTTATGCTTAGTGTTTATGATCTTTAATCCTTAATACATAAATGTTGTATATGTTTGTGATGATTTCTGTATAGGAAATTACTAAAAGTAAAATTATATGAAAGGGTGTGGATGTTCTCAAGGCTTTAAACCATATTGATAAATTATTTTACAGGGTAGATGTACACCATTCTAATTATATTTAATATTTTTCTGATGACTTAGAATCATTTATATGGGTATGTTTTGATAAGGCAATTGTGATAACTTCAAAGTATATGAGGGACATTTTCTAAGTTTATTAACTGGTTTCAGACTAGTTTTCTATAATTTGTGGTTCCTGTTTTTTCTTTTCAAGAGACTATCAGTTGCAAGGTACTTACCTTGTGGTTCATTTCTTATAGCTAGGAGAGCATCTGGGTTTTGATTATAATACATATGCTTAAAGTAAGTACTAAGTAAAGGCTTGAAAGCTTTTCCTCTGAGTAAAATATGTAAGCAGTAATATATTGACTTTAACATATATTTTAACTGCTTAGTTCTCTACCCATTGGTTCAGTAGTTGGGGGTGGAGGATTGAAAGCCCATTTCTGCATATTGAGAATACTGTATCATCTGAAACACGTTAGGATTAATTACTCTTTCCTTTTTTAACCTGAGTATTTTGTTATTCAGTTTAATTTAAAAACATAAACCACATCACTAAGTCCTGTTATTCACTGATGTGAAATATTTCAATGGAGTACAAAATAGTAACTAGAGATAATTATTGCTTATTTAATTAAATTCAGTATCTCCAATCATTTTATTTAGTAAAAACCGTATGCCCTTAAATATTTAGAAATTGCTTTCTGACTGAAAAACATGATTTAGTCTATTTTATATATTTACTGAGAAATTGTCATCATACTCCAATTTAAGATGAGGAATCAACTTTGGTTAACACAGACACTGAAATGTATCATCATTCTTTCTGTCCCTAAATATGAATGGATAGTTGTCTTTCTAATGCATCGGAGCTATGCATCTTTTGCTATTACATAGAAAATAATTATCTCCGATAATCCATTTTCTTGTGTTTCAAGCGGTCAAGGAGGACCACTTTGTTGTTTCTTAGTTCAGTTCATTTCATTTCCAAGTTAAGAAATTATCTAAAGTGCTAAAATTATAGCTTGGGAAGGCACCTCAGTTTGTGATTGGTAAACCCAGTTCCTAAGTTAGGACAAAAGTCAATTGAAATTCCCTCTTCCAGACTTAGTGACATTTAGGGCAAATGAGCGAAGGGTTGGGTGCCAGTGTCAGTAGATTTTGAAAACTTCTACGTATTGTAATGAAATAGGATCTGCGCACCACTCGTCCCCTCCCCCTCCTCTCCATAAAGATTAATCAGAGTGCAGGTGTCAGATCTGTTGAGATGGACAGTGCAGTGAAAATTATTATGAGTCCTTTAAAATTAGCTCATATGCACATTAGTATTAAAATTAGTTAACTGTAGTTTTAGATCTTAATCAGTTGTCTCAAATTTTTTTAAAAAGACAGCACTATATAAGCAAGATTGCACACCTAATATAATCGTATATTATAAATGTTGTATATTATATATGATAAAATATAAAGATGCAATACATTAGTAATGCATCTTTAAGAAAATCAAGGAGATAGTGAATCATATCATATACAGTATGAAATAATACTTTGTTATTTTTAACTCTTAGAATATTCAGCTGAGTGCCTCAGTTGTATATTTTGAAGTCCTATATTCTAACAACAAAAAAAGAATCCCCCACATAACCCCAAATTACTTCCAGAAATCCAAAAACCTTAAAAGTATTTAGCTTTTCTTAAATCAGCCGTGGTGATTTTAACCTTGGTTCTTAACCTTCTTAATGCCATGGCCCTTTAATACAGTTCCAAAGAGGTTGCGACCCACAGGTTGAGAACCGCTGCTTTATAAAAACAATGACTATTTCCTTTGGAAGTGTTATTCTGATGAGAAAATCTTCCATTTAAAAAAGTTGAAATTCTGTAATTTGAGGTATTAATTATGATAGTTTCTGACAGTGATTCAACTTTTATTTTAAAGATTCTGACAATGGAGATATTAATTATGATTATGTTCATGAATTATCATTGGAAATGAAGCGTCAGAAGATACAGAGAGAATTAATGAAGCTGGAGCAAGAAAACATGGAGAAGAGGGAAGAAATTATCATTAAAAAGGAGGTATGATTGTTTGCAATAAATAAGTTAATATAGTAATTAATAGCAATGTGTATATTGTTCAGAGAACTCAGCTGGTTGCTGCATCTTAAATTATACTAGGATACTGATCATTGATCAACTGACTATATATCAGCTACTCCTTATATGTTAATCACTTAAACTTCACATTAATCTATTAGATAAATAGGAAATATTTTTAGGATTGAACAAGTGAGCAAAATTTAGGCTTTATAGCCTAGAGTCATCAGCCGATGTAAAATGACATTTTCATATGCAATACGTATGTCTGTTTCAGGCCCATGGTGTTTCTGGTATACCTTGTTTCTTTTCTAAAGAATAGAGATGCAATTTATTTGAATATAATTTGTGATTGTTCTGAGGAGATTTTAAAATTTCATAATTTTAATTTGCTTTATTGATATTAAGGTATGTTAGGGCAGTTAATTATCACATTAGTAAAGGCATGGGTTCACCAGGAGTCAGACTGATTATCAAAAGATAGTAGCTATTGCTTAATTTTTAATACGAAGTTTGGTATAATTTTACAATACTATACTCTTTATAATACCATGAGTGGAGGAATTTGTGAATTGACTTACTGAAATCTTTCGAAAGGTTTCACCAGAAGTGATTAGATCAAAATTATCTCCATCACCTTCTTTAAGAAAGTCCAGCAAATCGCCAAAGCGAAAATCAAGCCCCAAGTCATCCTCCGCTAGCAAGAAGGACAGGAAGACATCTGCCGTGTCTTCTCCCCTTTTGGACCAGCAGAGGTCAGTAGGGTGATAAATAGTACCAGAATGAAATAGCTTTTTTCTATGTAATAGTAAAAAGAAATACTTAGTAGATTATAGAAGGGTACTTTTAACACTTTTAATATTTAATTCAAGCATATTTATTCCCCCAAGAAGTGTGAAATATTTGAATTTTAAAAAAGGGAATAAAATAAATATCTGTCATATCCACACATGCTTTGCTATTCTTCCCTTTTTGAATTTGATGCTTATACAAATGCATGTATGTTTGTACTTTCATTAATACATGTTTTGCAGTATACATATCTGTTTAATTGTCATACAGCTATATGGTACATATTATAATTTTCCTTCCACAGCTTGCTTTTCACTCAACTTTTCTTACACTTACCTGTGTTGATGTATGTAACCTTAGTTTATTCATGTTAGTATTTTTATATTTATCTACTTTTCTGCTGTTGAACATTTATGTTTCTAGTATCAAACAATTCATACAAAATAAGCATTCTATTTGTCTCTTTGTATACATAATCAAAGGATTAGATTCTTTCTAGTATAAACCTAGCAGCATAAGTACATTATTTAGAATTACTGTTATTGGCCCATTAAAGAAATGAAAATAGAAATGATGAAATATAATTGCATTGAGAAGCTAAGAATAAGGGATAAAACACATTTTCTTTTACTGTCACTCTACACTATTTACATTTTATTTTAATTAAAGTATATCTAATTTTGTTTATTAAAAAACTAAAATCCTCTTCTCCCTAATATTTGATTGGCAGTCTCTGTCTGTCTGAACCCATTATGAAACTCATGATTATCTCCTTTCTTTTACTTTCTAAAAGCAACCCAGTTTCAGACTAATTACTTTTCTGCCTAGATTATTATATCATCCTACCAACTGTATTTACTTTATGTGCTATCTACCCCCCTATAAACACAACACATTTTCATTCAGTTACCCCAGCCCATTCATTTTAATGCTGTCAAAGAAATTTTAAAAGGACAATCCCAATTAATTTATTATGCCATGAAAAGCTCAGTGGTTTTCTAGTCTATCAAATGAAATTCAGATTTCTTAGACTGATGTTTAAACTTTGATCTTATTTTTCTTAATCGATATTTTTGTCCAGTTTCCTCCTACCCACCTTCTTGTACCCATATCTTTCAGCCTCTAAATCAAATGCTAAATTTTCCCAGTTTTCCTTACTGAACATAATTTCTGCTCCTTTTGTGTACCTATCAGGTCTTGTTTATACCTCCCCATTAATATAAACTGCCCTTTGCATTATATTTCAGCTGTGACATACATGTTTTACAACCTCCATTAAGTTTAAGCCCCTTGAAGATTGATATCTTGATGGTTCATTCATAGTTCTGTCTTTCCACAGCACCTACTTTGCATAGAGCTTTGCATTGTAATAAGGCACTCAATGAAGTTGACTTGATCTCTTTGTTTCTGGGATTGAGTAAATATTACAAAGGGATATTAAAGAAATTGAGCCATGGAATGATGCGATCCACCATACTTACTATTTATGTTCTTGGCTAACCAATTACATAACTTTGCCTCAATTCCATTTATTTCTCCAATAAACTACATACCAGAAATATTCTTTGTTCTTATCCTTTCTATTCAAAAATCTTTGGCATTTAATTTCTTCCTATAAAGTCTTGATAACTAGTTAAATGAGGGTTGGTTACATCTTTTCTTTTTCATATAATCTCTTTTACTGCTTTATTAGTAACTCATCTTTTAATACTTGTTACAAATAATTAGACTGGTTTTACTATTGTGTTTCCTGTATTCTAATATATTGTTAACTTTAAGATCCACTGTTAATTTAATAACTGAAGCAGAAGGACTTGGAAAGGAGTACATTCAAAATACAAAGAAAACATTGAATTAAGGAGAGAATTTCTTTGTCTATGAAGTTTTCATTTCTTAGAGTGTGTTCGGTATCAACTTTTAATTTTATGGTTAGATCATACAATAAACTTATGGAAGAGATTGGGTACAAGTAAGGATTAGAATTTCAGTTCAAATTTGGTGGAGTATTTCAGTCAATGCCAGTAAGTCAACTGTGAGGTAACAATCAAGTAAACAAATTTCTTGGTCTTAGTAGGTTATGAAATTGGATGGGTAGATATATTTACTGACAAATTAAAACTCAAATTTCTCTCTGAAAGTTGGCAATCATTGTGAGATACAGTCTGATAGTAAGATTTATCCTCGTGTGATTTCAAATCATAAATATTATCTATTCTGTCCATCTGCATTTTTAATCTTTCTTTTCATTAGGTAAATTTTTCTTTGCAGTTCTCTGTACAAATAAGTATGAAGCATGTCAAAAGCTGTTCTAAAGAAATAGTTTTGGGGAGAGAGAAAGAAGAAAAGATCTAAAAATGATAAAACTAGACAAGTGGGCTCTATGCTATAAACAGAAAATAAAGTATGTCCTACTAGGGAATAATCAGTTGACTAAAAACATGTTGTAAGATCTGTTGACTTCAGAATATGCAAAGCCAGTTTTGACTTCTTCACTTACAAAGCACTATAATTTGATTGTGTTATCTAACCACATATCATTTTGAGGGTAATGTGAAAAAATTCCATACTTTGTGTGTTAGGGTAAGCCTAGTTGTGATAATAGCTACATTCCAAAACGTCAATTGTTTAACACAATAGAGGTTTATTTCTCATTCATGTATGTCAAAGTGGGTATTTGTGATTAACAGGTGACTGTCTTATATGTTGAGATTCAATAACCCAGGCTCCTTTTGGCCATGACTCTACTTCTTTGGGCTTTCAAAGAAACCGAAGAATGGAATGTACAAAGACAAATATGAGTATTGTGCTTATTTAGCTCTATAGTTCACAATTGCTTGGCATTTGAATGTCCTTTAAGAATGGGCCCAGAAGTGATACAATCACTTCTGTTTACATTGCTTTGGCCAGATCTTGGTGACTTGGTCACACCTTATATCAAGTATAGATAGAGTATGGTTTAGCACTATGCCCAGGAGAAGAGTTTGGTGAATATCCAGCTAGTTTCTGTCACAGGCAATAATGTAAAAATACAGTTTGTGTCAAGAATTTCTCTACTGTTTTATTTTGAAAATTTTTAAAGTAACTTTTGATAGAGATGCCAACTATTGATTAGTTTTTATCTTTAAAGTGGAAGAAATATTTAGAAATACAGGCACTTATCACTGATCTATCAGATATAAGTTTGAGTCATCTCACAAGTGTGCAGTGACATATAAGATTGGGCAGTTAAGTTTGTAAACTCATCCTAGAAAAAGTACTACATACCTCATTACTGAAAATCACTCCAGACACCATCAAAGTACTCTCCTTGGCCATCTGGTGACCATAGTGATATTTAGCAATGACGTATATAGCACTTTTTCTAGGATGAATTCACAAACTTAATTGTCGGGTCTTATATGTGGTTAATATAATTGTTGGCAGATAACAAGGATGAAAAATAAAAATAGGCTCGGTGCCTGTGGCTCAAGTGGCTAAGGCGCCGGCCACATACAAATCCAGCCCAGGCCCACCAAACAACAATGACGGCTGCAACCAAAAAATAGCTGGGCATTGTGGCGGGCGCCTGTAGTCCCAGCTACTTGGGAGGCGGAGGCAGGAGAATCGCTTGAGCCCAGGAGCTGTGAGCTGTGTGTGAGGAACTATGAGCTGTGATGCCACAGCACTCTATCCAGGATGACAGCTTGAGGCTCTATCTCAAAAATAAATAAATAAATAGAAAAAAATAGATTTGGTGATCATATTTTAACAATTTCCAACTTTCTTGGGTTGTTAACCCTATTACACTAAGGCATAGGGATAAAGAACAGTATTCAAGTGATAGGCCTACATATGGCCCTGACTAAAGCATTATAAAAGCTATCCATGTGACAAAAACATTTGTACTCCCTTCCTATTTTGAAATTAAAAGGGAAACAGGGATAAGGGCTAAGAAAGCTAAATTTTCTTAATGCTTACTATAATTCAGGTGCTTTTATACTTTTATCTTTTTTTAATCTTCCCAACAATTTTGAGAAAGGTACTTATCCATTACTTTTTTATAGGTGAGGAATCTTGGGACTAGACAATTCATGATAACAGAAAGTTAACTTTTAGGATTTGGGATTAGGTCCCCACTTATAAGTATCAGTAGATAGTGAAATGAGTAAGTAATGAAAACTTACTAGATGAGTAAAGTACCGGACTGAACATTCAGAGCAGATGGCTTACACTGAAACATTAATACAGAAAACAGAAACAAACTTAAATAATAAATTAATTCATAAGGGTAGTGTGGTTTGAGAGAATATTGCATTTACAAGATGAGAGCGATTGATCATGAATAATAAAAACGAACCAATACGTGAAAAGGATAGTTTGGAAGAGAAAAGATTTTTGAACTGAAAATAGCAGAATAATGGGCTTGTCAAATTTAGAATTGTGGAATGGGTGCTACTTAAAGGAGAAATTACTGAATTAAAAGACAAATTTAAGAATTGGAAAGCAAAAGGAGAGATGGAAATGACAGAACATGGAGGCTCTCTGTCTAAGAGATGCAATAACTTTATAATAAGCAGAACTGTGGAGACTTGGGCCATATGGAGAAGGGATAAAATAAAAATAGAAGTCATTCGGCAAAAACTGAAGTTTTAGGTTGCAACAGTTCATTGAGTGATGAAAAAGGATAGAAAAAAGTAAAAAGACCTAGACTTGAATATTCTTTGCCATTGAATAATTTCCAAAGAATAATGTTTTATAAGCTTCCCAACAGAAAAACCAGGTCACTTGAATATTTTAAAAAAATATGACTCTCTTTGGACATCTTATCTATAGCACTAACATGTTACAAGATATCATAATATATAGGTCTGGAGGGAAAAAGTTTTGACACAAAAATGGCACGTTCATTCTGTTCAGGTATGAAGCAAAAACAACCAGTTTTGGATGCATAAGGAATCAAAATTATACTACTTACATGAAATTTAGTGCCAAAAAGAGGATAGTTTATAATCAGAAACCAGTTACAGTTACATCAAAGACTTAAATGTGAAAGGCAAAATTCCAAAATTTTAGAATTTGGGGAAAAACTTTTTAAACAAGATTCAAAATTTAAGTGATTGTTTACTAACAGTGCTTGGGATTTCATTTGTAGATGATGTAATTGGGTTTTCTTTATAATGATGGAAACTTAGAAGCCACCGGAAGCACTTACCACAATGAAATTGTTTAAAGAAGTTCAAGAGGCTGGGTGTAGTGGCTCAGGCCTATAATCCTAGCATTTTGAGAAACTGAGATGAGAGGGGTACTTGAGGCCAGGAGTTTGAAACCAACATGAGCAACAGTGAAACTTTTCTTCACAGAAAATAGAAAAATTAGTCAGGTGTGTAGCATGTGTGCACCTGCAGTCCTGGCAACTCAGAAGCCGAGGCAGGAGAATTGCTTAAACCCAGGAATTTGAGGTTGCAGTAAGCTGTGGTGACATCACTGTATGCTAGCCTGGCAACAGTGCAAGACTATCTCAAAAAAAATAATAATAATAATATCAAAGATGATAAGGAACATCTATTCAAGGAGATTCTGTACAGTCTATAAAAGTGATTACCTTAAATCCACTATTTATTATCGTAGAAAGATGCTTCACAGTCTATTTTCAGTACAAAGAATCTTACAGAATATTATATTTCATGAATGTGTGTGACCTACACAGATTCACAACCATTTCTAAAGTTCTGACCATTCATATACATACACTTGTGTGTGTATATATCTATATACCATTATATATATGTGAATATATACTAGTAATCCCATTTGTCTATTGTTGGTTTTGATGCCTATGCCTCTGGGCTCACAGCCAAGTTCTTTGTCATGAAGCTTTTCCTCTACATTTTCTTCTAGTAGTTTTATAGTCTTAGGTCTTACAGTTAACCCATTTTGAGTTAATTTTTGTATGTGATACAAGGTAAGGGTTCAACTTCATTCTTTTGTTTGTGGGTATCCAGTTTTAAATGAACCATTAGAGAAAAAGATGTGGAAGTATATACATGAATAGTTATCCTTGGTAGAACAATGACAGGTGATTTTAGGCAGCTGTTTTATACTGTTACTTTCTTTTCTATTCCACTTCTTTTCTTAGAAACCTACCCTTTAAAATCATGTAATAATAAGCATTGTTAACAAAATAAATAGCAACTAACTCATTCCTGTGAGTCACTCCTTTTCCTGGATGTTGATTATTCATATACAGAATAGTAAAGGGCAAATAATTGAAAAGAATGCTGCCATTTTTAAAAAGTGCTTTAAAAAAATATCCATTTGGGGGCAGCGCCTGTGGCTCAAAGGAGTAGGGCACTGGCCCCATATACCAGAGGTGGCAGGTTCAAACCCAACCCCGGCCAAAAACTGCAAAAAAAAAAAAAAAATATATATATATATATATATATATATGTATGTATGTATCCATTTGGCCTTTCAGAAATATTTGAACCTCTAATGACAGCTTTGTGTTACCTTCAGGAATTCAAAAAGTAACCAAAGTAAAAAGAAAGGACCACGCACTCCTAGTCCACCCCCTCCTATACCAGAAGATATTGCCTTGGGGAAAAAATATAAAGAAAAGTATAAAGTAAAAGACAGGATAGAAGAAAAACCAAGAGATGGAAAGGAAAGAGGAAGAGATTTTGAAAGGCAAAGGGAAAAAAGAGACAAGCCAAGGTAAGTGGTATTATATGTTTTTGATATTAGTTTTATAAAATTTATAGTATTTACTTTTAAGAAGCTTTTAGGCATAAGTCTAATATGCTTTTTATTTTGTTTACAGTGATGCATGTGTTATGTATTTAATAATTATGATGAGTCATGGATAATTCAATAAGAATTAACTTTTAAGATTTATGTTTGAATTTTTAAATTGTGGTATAAAACAAAACTTACCATTTTAAGTTCATAGGGTTGTCCATAAAGTTCACATGCAGTTTTGAATAATTAACTATTTTAAATTGCACACAAACTTTATGGACACCCTATATAGTTCAATAGTGTTAAATATATTTATACTGTGAAACACATCTCCAGAATGTTTTCATTTTTCAAATCTGACCTCTATATCCACCAAACAGTAACTCTCCCTTCCCTAAGCCCCTGGTAACTACCATCCTACTTGGTGTGTCTGTGAATTTGACTGCTTTAGATACATCATATAAGTGGAATCATAGTATTTGTCTTTTTGTAAGAGGCTTATTTTACTTAGCATAATATCCTCAGGGTTCATCCATGTTGTAGCATGTGATAGTCTTTCCTTCCTTTTTGAGACTGAATAATATTTCATTGTTTGTAAGTACCACATTTTATTTATCCATTCATCTGTTGATGGACATATGGGTTCTTCCACTTCCTGACTATCATGAATAGTTGTTACAAACATGGGTGTGTGGATACCTATTTGAGACTTTGCTTTCAGTTCTTTTAGGTATATACCTAGAGTAGGGTTGCTGGGTCATGTGATGGTTCTAGTTTTCACTTTTTTAGGAACTTTCATACTGTTCTCCATAGCAGTTGCACCTTTATAAATTCCTTCCAACAGTGCACAAGTGTTCCAGTTTTTCCATATCTTCGTTAACACTTATTATTTTCTCTTATTTTTTTGATAGTAGCCATCCTAATAGTGTTTATCTCATTGAGGTGGGGTGATAATTTCATTGAGGTTTTGATTTGTATTTCTTAAATGATAAGTGATGTTGAACATCTTTTCATATGCTTGTTGGCCATTTGTATATCCTCTTTGAAGAAATGTCTATTCAGGGTCTTTGGGCATTTTTTAATTGGGTTATTTGATTTTTTTCTGTGGGTGAATTTTGTTCTTTATGTGTTCTGGATATTAATCCCTTGCTGGAGATATAAGTTTTTCCCATTCTATAGTGAAATGTGTTGCTTTTTCACTCTTGACACAAAAAAGAGTGATTAAATGGAGCACTCAAAATTCTTGTGTTTTGAACATATTTTTCTAAAATATACTCTGTATTTTTGGGTTCGTGTGTGAAAATTATACGTGAATCAGATTTCTCAAATTATATTAAATATTTTTGATTTGCTTTATATCAATAGAGCCTTTATTTTCCTCTAGTATTTTTTTTCTTCAAATGATTATCTATTTAATTGGATCAATACAGACAGCCCACTCCCCCAAACCATTGATTCAGTTAATCAGACCACTGTCAACCTCCTCTTCTCTTGGGTCTGTGTAGACACAGACCAAGTGGCAATTTCTCCCGAAATAGGCACAGAAGTCAATAATCTACTTTTGGATAAAGTATCTGATTGCTCACAAATTATACAAATCACACTGATTACTGACAAATCATAATGTTTACAGAGCACTGTTTGGCTTTGGCTCCAGAGCATGACTAGGTATTTAATTAACAACTGTGAAATATAATTTACACCATCACAATGACCAGACAATGGATGATTGTTGATTTCACATAGTAGAATAAATACCCTGCAACTAGCCTTGACTTCATGTGGAGGGTAAAAAAGTGGGGGCTTGATGATATAGCAATGAAATCAGATTTCATTACCATGTTTAACTGGAAGATTCTTGAAGGTCATGATATCTCTTCCTCCCATGAAAAACTATTTTTCTCTAGTTTTTCTTGGTACTCTTATTTTGTTCTTTGATCCAGAAATGTCTGAGATATGGTTCTTAACAAGTGTCTTTGGATGGTTTACCATTTAAATGGTAAAGACATTTGCAATCTTAGGTATTAAATATTACACAGGTTAATTCTTCATTTTGCAGTTTTTCTCTCTGGTCTGTCTCCACAACTAAGTATGCCTAGCAATCAGTCACCTGTTAATTTAGTATTTAGACAGATCAAAACTTTGTTTATTTCTTTTTGTCAAAGGATAGCACAGTTTGAAATACTGAAAAATTATTTAGATACCTACTTGTACCAGCATTTTAAGGCAGTGTGTGAAAAGAAAAGGCTGTTTTGGAGCAGTGCCCGCAGCTCCGTGTGTAGGGCACCGGCCACATATACCCAGACTGGTGGGTTTGAACCTGGCCCAGGCCAGCTAAACAACAATGACAACTGCAACAAAAAGATAGCCAGGCATTGTGGCAGGCGTCTGTAGTCCTAGCTACTTGGGAGGCTGAGGCAGGATAATCGCTTAAGCCCAAGAGTTTGAGGTTGCTGTGAGCTGTGACACCATGTTACTCTACCCAGGGTGACAGCTTAAGAATCTGTCTCAAAAAAAAAAAAGGCTGTTTTGATTTTGGGAGTTAATTTAATTTCTAAGGTTTTTAAGTGGGTTTCATTTTGATTTGTCTCCATTTTTGTGAATAAAGAAATTATAGGCACTTTGTATTTTATTGTGCTCCTCTTTATTGCACATTGTGGATATTGAGCATTTTTTTTTTTAACTAATTGAAGATTTGTGGTAACCCTATTGGTACCTTTGCACCATTTTCCTAACAGCATATCCTCATTTTGTGTGTCTGTCGCAGTTCGATAATTTTTTTTTTTTTTTTTGGAGACAGAAATCTCATTGCTGCCCTCGATAGAGTGCCATGATATGACAGCTCATAGTGACCTCAAACTCTTGGGCTTAAGCGATTCTCTTGCCTCAGCTTCCCAAGTAGCTGGGACTACAGGTGCCTGCCACAATGCCTGGCTATTATTTTGTTGCAGTTGTTTAGTTGGCCTGGGCTGGGTTCAGACTCTCCAGCCTGGATGTATGTGGCTGGTGCTGTACCCACTGAGCTATGGGCGCTGCCTCAGTTTGGTAATTCTTGTCAATCTTTCAAATTTCTAAAAATTACTTTATCTGTTACAGTGATCTGTGACTGATAATCTTTAATGTTATTATTGCAGTTGTTTTGCAGGGGTATCCAGCCTGTAGCCCTGTGGGCGGCATGCACATTATTCAGGGACTGTTGTGCTTATCTAGGGTGTCAAATATTGAATATGAGAAGTATGCATGGACCTTTCTTTTCCTAATCAGCTTTTGTTAGTATTTGTGTATTAATGCATGGCCCAAGACAACTCTTCTTCTGATGTGTGGCGGAAAAGCAGAAAGATTGGACACCCTGCTAGGGCATCATGAATTGTGCCCATATATGACAGTGAGTGTATTTGATAAATGTTATATATGTTCTGACTGGCCTGTTCCCCTGTCTCTCTGCCTTTCTTTGGGCCTCCCTAAACCCTGACACACAACAATATTGAAATTAGCCCAGTTAATAACCTACAGTTGACCTCAGGTGTTTCAGTGAAAGAAAGAATACCTCACTTTAAATACAAAACGGGAAATAATTAAACATAGTGAGGAAGCCGTGTTGAAAGCTTGAGTAGGCCGCAAGCTAGACTTCTTGTACCAGGTAGCCAAGTTGTGAATGCAAAAGAAAAGTTCTTGTAGGAAATTAAAAGGACTACTCCATTGAACACATAAGTAAGAAAGTGAAAAAAGTCTTAATTGCTGAAAATTCTAGGGCCTTTAAGAATTATGCCAAGTATACTCTGTCTGTGTTTTATAATGTATAAACAGCCTAGATGAAAACATATCTGTTTATAGCATGGTTTACTGAATATTTTAAGCCCACCCTTGAGTCATACTGCTCAGAAAAAAAGATTACTTTAAAAACGTACTCATTCATTGACTATGCACTTGGTCATCCAAGAGCCCTGATGGTACTATATAGGAAATTAATGTTTTCATGCCTGCTACCACAACATTCGTTCTGTAGTCTGTGGATCAAGGAATAATTTCAACTTTCAAGTCTTATTATTTAAGAAATACATTAATTTCATAAGGCTACCTGCCATTTTCTCTGGATCTGGGCAAAGTAAATTTAGAGTTGCTTCTCATATGGATAAGAAAAGAAAGTGTTTTCTTGATACGGAATCGTTGTCAAAATAACAACAAAGGGTTTAGATTAACATTACATAAATGTAGTTGATAAAGCAGAGGCTGCGTTTGAGAGGATTAACTTTAATTTTGAAAAAACTTATACTATGAATAAATTGCTATTCAACAGCAATACATGCTATAGAGAAATTTTTTGTGAAAGGAAAGGTCAGCCAGCTTAGCAGACTTCTTTGTTGTCTATTATAAGAAATTGCCACAGCCATCCCAGCTGTAGCAACTACCACCCTCATCAGTCATCTGCCATCAACATGGAGGCAAGACCCCCCCCCCAGCAAAAAGCTTATGATTCACTGAAGGTTTACATGGCCCTTAGCAATTTTTAGCAATAAAATATTTTTTAATGACTATATGTATGTTGACCTTTTAGACATAATGCTGTTGTATACTTAATAGACTACAGTATAGTGTAAACATCATTTATATGCATCGGGAAACCAAAAAATTCCTGTGACTTGCTTTTTTGCAATATTTGCTTTATTGTGGTGGTCTGGAACAGAACCTACAATATCACTATAATATGCTGAAACTCTTTTTTTTGAGACAGAGTTTCATTTTGTTGCCCTCAGTAGAGTGCTGTGGCATCACAGCTCACAGCAACCTCAAACTCTTGGGCTCAAGCAGTTCTCCTGCCTCAGCCTCCCAAGCAGCTGGGACTACAGGCACCCGCCACCCTGCCTGACACTTTTTTTCTTTTTTTGGTTGCAAATGTTGTTTAGCAGGCCAGGGCCAGGCTGGAACCCGCCAGTCTCAGTGTATGGGGTTGGAACCTACCCACTGAGCTGTGGGCG